CCCGCCTCATCCTAATAAATGCATCAGAGCAGGATCCTGAGCACCCGGAGAGAAAAATCAACATCCAAACCCAAATCCTTCCTGGACTGATAAGGAAGTAAAACATAGGCTCTCCAGAAGGGCATCCGTGGAGACAGCAATTCAGACTCCTCTACACTGCTTTCTGGAGATGCGGGTTGTAAAGTTTTCTTCCAGCTTCTGGATTTGTTGCAGCTTGCTGGCTGTTTGAACATCCTTCTAATACCAGTTCAGAATTACCACAAGATTTTAGAGAGCCTGTTTTGGGATAGTCATCAGAATGAGAATAATTGTGAGTTCCTAAGTCTTTTCTCCCCTTCCTCCCTGGAGACCTATGTGGTTTGCTACATCCACAGGAGTTTTTTGAACCATAGGTCCACATGTTTGTTTTTGGGGGGTACCGGGGATCGAACTCAGGACCTTGCACTTTCGAGGCAAGCACCTGCACCACTGAGCTAAATCCCCTGCCCCCTTGTTCAAGTCTTAGTCCCGGGGACCTGGGTAGAGGAAAGGAGACCGTGGGTCCCAGAGTGGGGAGGGTGCTCTCGGTTGAAGGGTGCTGTGGGTCCCTCCTCCTCCTCAGCTCTGCTTCCTGGCTCATGAGCTGAGCAGTTTGCCCCCAGCACTCTCCTGTCATGATGTGCTGCCTCATAGGAGCTCAGAGAACAGGGCCACCCAGCCATGACTGCACCCTCCAAACCATGAGCCTCAGTAAACCTTGTGCATTCATTTTCTCAGATGTTCCGTCATAGTAATGAGAAGATGACTAATACGAGGTCAAATCTTGCTTAACACACTTCCCTAAAGAAGTTTAAAAGGAAAGCAAAGATGTAGAGACCTTGTCCTGCTCACCACTTTCGGATTAAAAAACCAATTTTTATAAGAACTTGTGCTGACCGCTCACATCTGTCTTTGTTCACAGGGCTTCCTCTGCACAGGGCCGGTCCTTCCAACCCAAGGCCCTGCTCTTGAGCCACTCTGTGTAGTGGCCCAGCCTGAGGCTTTCTGGGCCTCTCCTCCCTGCGCAGGCCAGCAACAGTCCTCAGGGGCCAGGGCTCTTGCAGGAAGGAAACACTGGAGACTTTCATGCACATCTCACCTGGGCAGAGACATTTCTGGGCTCACAGAGGAGGATTCCACAAAGTGGCACCCAGTGCTGGCCAGGTGCTGTATTCTCACTTGTATCAATAAAATGAACTGCATTTAAAGCATTTCTTTACATGCTAATTATTAAATCTTTGAGAAAGATAGAACAGTAAAGGAAGGGAAAGAAGCCATGCACGATTGCCCATAGAGGTAGCCTAGGAGTATTTCTGTACTCACACGGACATACACATATATGCATATTTTTGTTGCAAAAGAGTGTACATCCTGTTTGCTGGAAGTGGGGTCCATGGATTTCCCAGCACCGGAATCACCTGAATTCATCAGAAATGCAGAATCTTGGGCCGTGGCCACACTTACCAAGTCAGGATCCGCAATCCTTAGCATTGCAAGAACGTGCAGGGAGAGACCTGCTCTGCGTACTGCAGGCACAGGGTGGACATCCGGGCACTGGGGAAGGCCGCTCCTTAAAGGAACTACTTCTCATCAGTCTGCCTGTCCACCACCCCAAAAGCTGCCACTAATTGGCATTTTAAGGGCAGCAGAGCAGCATGAGGAAGAACAGGACCCTGGGGCTGAGGGTGAGGCTCTGTGGGAAGGCATGAGGTCCTAGGTTCGAACCCCACCATCTCAAGAAAAACAACCAGGATTCTCCAGCCAGAGAGCTTGAGATCAAACCCTGTCCAGCTCTGTCCGTGATGTGAGAATTAGGTCTATGCCACCACCTTTCTGTGCCCCAAGTCCCCACCTCCCAGAGGGGATTTGAAGGCAGCAGCTGATCTCTCAGTGCTCTGGGTCCATAGGAGTTCAGGGCTGGTGTATCCCAAGGCCCAGAGCCATGTTTGTTAAACACATAATCTTGCCATTCACAAAGTGTTAAGATAAAGAGATCAGAACAGCAACATTCAAATCCATTCTCTGAGCATGTCCATCTGCTCTTGGCAGGGCCCAAGGCCCCAGTGTACCCTGTGGTCCCTGCTCCAGGTCAGGATCTGCTTCCAGCTGCCCGATGTTCGTCCTCAACCCGGGGCAGAGGGGCTGCCCCAAAGAAGGGCAAAGTGAGGAGACTGGGGAAGACTTCAAATGTCTCGGTACATCTTGGCCGGCCCTGGGCGTGACTAAGCACCACGTAAGGGGTCCAAGGAACTGCAGCTTTCATTGGCCACAGACAGCCTGGCGTGGGAGCTGGATCTGGATTTATCTCTGGTGCCGTCTGATTCACACTGCAGGTTGTAGACAAACAAGGACCCAGCCTTTCCCATCAGCAGCACGAGGGAAATGAGGGCGGATTTTCCCCTGTGCTCGAGGTGAAGGGTAACAGAATGGCTGTGTCCTCTGGGCTGTAGGTGAGCATGGAAAACACCACACACACTCCCACTCAGGCCATAGGTGCACTGACTGGCACTTCACCGGGGGACGGTACCTGCTCTGTCACACACTCCGACAGCCACCTCTGCCCTCCAGAGCCAGCATCGAACCAGGCACAAAGGGGTGGACACCGGAGGGCTGGTGGGGACGTGGGGCCTGTGCCGCTCTGTGGTGGAGCTGAGGACAAATCTGCTCTGGTTCCCCCCTCTCTTTGCCTGCAGTTGGCTTGGGTCCAGCCCCAGGGAGTGAACTGCACAATTCTGTCTTTTTGGCCGGGGAGTCAAGATGAGAGGCCCTCAAAAGCCAGAGTCTATGTGTTTCTTTTTCTTTTTTCTCCCTTTTTTCTCCCCAGGCCCTGCCCTGAGAGCAGCCCTAAAGGCAGATCTATAAAGTGGCAGGAAATGTAGCTACAGCTCTTCTGGAGAGTCTAGGTTTTTGGGAAGACTATTTCTCCCGTGGGAAAGGGGCTTCGGGGAGCCAGAGAGTGTTCAGGGAGTTGCAGAGAGGGGAGAACTGAAAGGGAATGTCCTAATTCTATGTATGAACCCGGTTTACCCTTCAGCTGTGCATGTGCAGGACAAATCTGAAGCAGCATAGCAAAGGCTTTGAGAACTGAACTACAAACATAACCACTGCCTGTGCCCCAGGCAGACCTCAGGCGGTCCATGTGGTGTGAATCTAGTCAGGTGATTGCCTACCGACCAACAAGTAGTGAATATTACACCCCAGAGGATTATACGGGAACATAAAGACTCACAACATAACCATCAAAATGTCAAAGAAATCAGCTTGGCCTCGTAGCACAGGACTGTCATCCCAGGACTCTGGGGGGCTCAAGCGGGAGGATAGTAAGTTCAAGCCCAGCCCAGCAACTCAGATAGATCTTGTCTCAACATTAAAACAAACAGACTGGGATGTAGCTCAGTGCGAAGGCCCTGAGTTCCATTCCTAGTACAAAAAAATAAATAAATAAAAATTTAAAATTCAACATACAAGGAAACTGGGACATTATGAAGAATTCTCAAGATAAAGTAAACTGACCAGTACCAACACCAAGTTGACTCAGATGGGGAACTATTCTTTGACAGAAAGAATGTTTAATACAGGCTTTAGAATGGCTTTTATAACTATACTCCTTGAGCAAGGCACATAAACTTTAACTGAAGAGGATATTATGTCTCAGCAGAGGAATAGAAATTATAAGAAATTGAAATCAAATGGAAATTTTGGAATAGAAAAAATAATGTCTGAAGCAAAACAGCAGAAGAGAGACAAGAAAGTTAGTGAACTTGAAGATAAAGTGAAAGAAATTATCCAATTTTCAGGACAGAGAAGAAAATGACTTGAAACTCGAACAGAGCTTCAGCGATCAGGGACAACAGTGCAAGGTCTAAACATTGGTGGCGTTGGAGTTTCAGAAATAAAAGTGAAAGAGACTGGTACAGAAGAATATATGAAGAAATAATGACCAACAGCTTCCCAAATTTGATGAAAGATAACTTTGGAAATTCAAGAAAGGGGCTGGGGATTTAGCTCAGGGGTTCCAATGCCTGCCTTACAGGCGGAAGGATCCAAGTTCCATTCCCGGTACCAAAAAGAAAAAAAAGAAATTCAAGAAACTTGGTGAAACATCAAAAAGATAAACCCAAAGACAGCCAGGTCCACATGTATCATAACAAAGTGGTGAAAACCGAAGAGAAAGCTGTGGAGAGCAACTAGGGAACCATGGCACCGCGTACACAGGGGCAATGAGAACGACAGCAGACCCCGCACCAGGAGACACGGGAGGGCGGGCAGTGGAACCACATTCTGTGCTTAGTGGAAATCCCAGGAATGACCACAAAGGCATTGTCAGAGGGAGGAAAAGAAAGTAATTTGTTGCCAGGAGGCTTATTCCAAAAGAAATGCTTCACGGGGCTTTTCAGGCTGAAGGGAAAAGATAACAGAGAAAACTGGTATTTCAGGAATGAAGAAGGAGTAACAGCAATGGTAAATGTCTGACTGAACAGACTAGACTATTTTCTTTCTTTATAGATGAAAAGAAATTTATTTATCCTGTGTGTTTTATTTTTTATTAGTACATTTGCAGTACATAATGATTATATTTATTGTGGGGATTCGGTACATGTACATGACACAACTTAATTCTTTTTTTTTTTTATCCCAAAGCTGCTAGAATAGATTGTTTTCTTAGGTTCTTTAAAATATGTTGATCATTTAAAGAAAAAATATATCTCATTGTCTGTGGGATCTTAATGAAAGCAGAAGTCATACACAGGACAGCTATAATATAAAGAGGAAGGTAAAGGTATTTGTATGCTTGTTTTATTTTATTTAATTATTTATTTTTGGTGTTTCTGAGACAAGGTCTTGCTATATAGTTCAGGCTGGCCTCGAACTTGTGGTGATCCTCCTGCCTCAGCCTCCCAAGTGCTGGGATTACAGGCATGCACCACCACACCTAGCTGTACAATTAATATTTATAATAAACAAAAGATCTGAGCAAAATAAATAGTTCAATATTGTATATTTTTTAGAAACTTCTGGATATTTCTTAAACTGGAGGACTCAGTTAAATTAAATTGTGATCCTGAACAAGCCTATAAGGACCACAGGGAGAACTTAAAAAAAAATTCATTAGACATACTTACTTAATCTGTACAGAATCAAGTAGATAACATTAGATTCACATTAGTGAAAAATCTCTACAAAATGTCTCTGAAAAGCAGAATAAGACCGCCTCTCACAATTCATATCCTCTTGAAAGACACAAGCTGTAAAAATCAAGCAACATGAAAAAATCAAGTAAAAATCACAAACCAGAAGATATTGGGATCATTTTTTCAGTTGCTTCCAACTACAGCAGTAGATTTTCACCAGCACCTGAGCATCGAACTGTGATAGGCAGATGTGATAAAGGCAGTTGCCATAGGAGAACTTTGGAAATCGTTCCTGAGCCAGGGGACAAGCAGACCCTCTCCTCTGAAAAACCAAGTATCCCCGTGACTCAGGTACTCAGATGCACTATGGGCCCTTTACTCATTTTTCATGGTGAGATGTGAAATGACGTAGAAGCATCAAGGTTACAGCCCCTGCTTGTCTGCTTGGACCGCCATGACGAAGTCCCACTGACCGGAGGTCTTCTCCCAGGGCCTTGCTCCTCGCTTGTGGGTGGTGTCGTCCTCCTGAATCCCTCCATGGGGGTCCCTGTGTGTGTCTGTGTCTAATCTCTCCTTCTGAGGAACGCTGTTGCTATTGGGTTGGGACCCACCTTAATGAACCCACTTTAGCTCAATGACCTCTTGGAAGACCCTGTCTTTGAACATGACAGCGTCTCGAGGTCCTGGAGTCAGGACTTCAACACGTGGATGTTGGAGCCCGGGACATAACTCAGCCCCTATTGTTTATTCTGTGGGTTAAGGACGGGAAACAGAAATGAAAGTCATTAGGTCGAATCACGTACCTGGCTCAGCAATGATTCTCCTCATAGTACCGTGATCTGTCGTGACAATGGGCTGTCGCTTTTCATTTCTGTGTAGCTTCCCCCACATTGCTCTCAGTAGCAATTAATATTCTCCGCAGCTGAAAGTCTCCTTTAATACCCAGTGATGTGACAAAAAGGCTGGCTGAACCCCACGGGTGTCATTCCGGCGACATTTGAGTCATTCCCCCGAGCCTTCCCTCAACGAGCCTCCTGGTAATTGGATGACGCAAATCAATGAGGAGAGCAGATATTTATTCGATGTCACCCTTGGCCTTGCGCTGGCCATCGCTGGGGGTGTGACGCACCTGCCGAGGGCACCAGCCCAGCCCTGAGTGTCGTTTGGCAGCACATCCTTCTCTTCCAATTGGTCCTTTTCCCAGGTCACAAGGACGGCGGGGTACTTTGCTGCTAGAAACATGGTGCCCGGAAGCTCTGTATCTGAGAGAGCCACCGAGGAGGGACACTGTCGAGGCCGGGTTTGAAGGGCCAGCAGAAGACTGCTCTTGTCACTAGGGATGTCACAATGCTGTCATGTGCTCGCCCTGGGCAGGGCCAGAGTCATGCGAGGGCTGTCAAATATGGCAAGGAACAAAACAGACCAGCGACCCGCACCACTGTGGCTGTCTCAGTCACCTGCAGGGCCAAGGGCAGCCTCTGTCACCTGGAAGCAGGGCGTCCTCGAGGCTCTGCCCCTCCCTCCTAGACGTGGCCAGCCAGGACCTCCCAGGCTGTCTGCTCCCCTCAAGGAAGACAGGTTGTGGGCCCAGGGGCTGTCTGCAGGGCTGTCTGTCTGTCCCCTGGGGACACCTTGTCAAGTCAGCACCAGATGCCAGAGGCCCACGCGTCATCCTCCTGCCACCAAGCAGGGTGTACGCAGGAGCTGGGAAACTGGGTGGCCACCTCTCCCCATGCAAGAACCCGCCAAGGACAAAGACATTATCCGCTGTCTTGATGGTGACCTCGGAGACAGACACTCCTCAGAGGACACGGACCCCTGTCTGCCTCATTCATCAGACTGTCAGAGCACAGACGGCAGGACTGCAAACTCACGCTTAGCCCACAGCAGCCACTGTGTAGGGAGGACACACATCTGGCACAAATAGTGTATTTTGTGCGACCCTCTTCTAAATGGTTTTCCTGGGTCTGAATTCATCATCTTCCCATAACCAGCCGAGTCTGCTTGGGCTGTGACCAAGCCCTGCACTGATCTCACGGTTCCAGAGGCCGGAAGTCCACGGTCCAGGTCCAGCAGTGCTGGCTTCTCCTGGGGATCCTCTTGGCTTGTGGGGGTGCCTCCTCCCCGAGTCTGCACACGGTCCTGTCTGTGTCCGTGCATATCTCCAGCGTCTTGCTGTGTCCAGTAGGGACACCGGTGACACTGGATTAGGGTCCAGTCTAGTGACTTCAACTTCATTTCCTCTTTAGGGACTGACTCATCCTGAGCAGACACACCCTGCTGAGTTAGGGGGAGGCCTGGATATAGGCATTTCCAGGGGACACGACTCAGCTCACCACCGCAGCCGCTATCTAATGGGTTAGGTTATTCATATTGTGGGAATCTCTCTTTCTTGGTAACTGGAGTCAAGAGCATATTTTAAACCTGCTCTCCGATCATCAGTGATAGAGTCCAGTTCCGGTTCCGGGGCTGCGCTCAGCTCTGGGAAGGCAGGCAGTGGAGGACTTGCTGACTTGTCCCAGCTGCAGCCTGGCCGGCCCTGATCTCCTTTCACGGAGGGGAGCGGCGGGTGATGCAGCCAGGGCTGTGCCCGGACCCTGGGCTCCCCGAGGAGGGAAATGCTCTGAGGTGCCCGCGGGCTGGGTCCCAGCCACGAGCCCTGCAGGCCCGGACAGGCGCGGTCGGGCAAGGGAGGTGACTTTGAGGCTGGCGGGAAACCAGGTTCTGAGGGGGCTGGAGCCGATTCCCCTGTCCCAGGAGGTCACCGGCCCCTGGGGTCCGTTTCATTGCTGTCCTCGCCCTCGCCCTGATGCCCCTGCCGGGTGGACTGGGCCGGAGCACCTGCAGGCTCACACCTGGCCAGACAGACTCCCGGCCCCAGACAGGTTTCAAGGCAGGCGTCTTCCGTGCCGGGCGCTAGGACGCGGCCAGAGTGGTGGGAATGGCTCCTGCGAGAGCCCCTTCACCCCAGTTGTGCCTCCCATCAAGAGGTGGGGCACTTGCACGCAGCACTCTGAAGGCTGAGGCAGGAGGATTGCAAGTTTATTTGAGCCCAGCTTGGGCGCTTTAGTGGCTTAGCAAGACCTGTCTCAAAATCTAAAAAGTAATAATAATTTTAAAAGGGCTGGGGATGTAACTCAGGGCCAAGGCCTTGGGTTCAATACCCACTACTGGGCAAAAAACCCCCCCAAGGAGTGGGGCTTCTCTCCCCGCCTGCCAGGGGCCGACTTGTGACGTCACAAATTCAGATGCTGAGGTCCTGCTCCCAGGCCCTCAGAGTGTGAACGTTGTTTGGAGAAAGGGCCTTTGGCCGGTGATTAAGGAAAAGTCGAGATCTTCTGGGTGAGGGCGCCATACTCGGGAGGCTCCGGCCCTGCCGTGGCCCCGTCTGGGGTGCTTTCCCAGCAGCCCTTGCGGGTGACGTCCCGGGACGCAGCTTCCGCCCTCCCCAGCCTGGAGGAGGCCACTTCCGGCAGGAGGCCCTGCTCAGCTTCCGGGAGGAGTCGGCGGAATGCTGGTGCATGGGATGGAGAGCAGAGGCGTCCGCCAGGCCACTGCAAAGTGTGGGGCTGGGCACAGCTGCCAGGACTTGGCTGTTGGCTTTCGGGGGTCGAACAAACACACTGGCTCCTAATCGAAATTGATCAGAATCTGGCTGTTCCCAGTACCCCACCTGTACCCCTCATTTAAGCCTGCATTCCAGTCTCCCCCCTGCTGCCTCTTCCCGACTAGGTGACTAGAGTGGGCTTTAAAACCATGGCTCATATGCTGATGTGCTGTTACCCAAGGCCTGACCCCTTCTTGGAACCACACTGGCCTCCTGAAGGATCCTCAAACAGGCCCGGCACGATCCTACCCCAGGGCCTTTGCACTTGCCACGCCCTCTGCCTAGAACGTTCTTCCACAGTTGCTCCCCTCTCCTCCTCCTCCCCCCCTCCCCCCTTCAGGTCTGTGGTGGGCTCCAACATATAAATAGCCCTTCCAGCTCATCACCATCAGGAGCCTACTTAGCCCTCGCTGGCTTTTATTGCCGCTGGACATACTGAATGCATGCTGAATGCAAATCCCAGGACGCTTGGTTTGTTTTCTTTCATTGTTGTATCTCTGGGACCTTGAACAGCACACAACAGCTGCTCAATAATGTTTGCTGAGTGAATGAGTGACCCAACGCCCCTATTTGAAACCTTTCATTGTTTCCTCATTGCTGTTCAAGGGCAAAGGTCCACATTCCTCGGTGTGGCCCTGTGGCTGAACCCAGCCTTCCTTTCCAGTCTGCTCAGGCTGGTCCAGCCCCTGGCAGCCGTGCTGGGCATCTTGGGCGTTGGCTCAGGCGTCCCCACCAATCTGTCCCTGTGACTTCTGTGCAGTCGTGCAGTCGGCAAGGCAGGCATTGCATAAACATCTGACTAAATCCGAAACATGAATATGAAGTAGATTAAATTAAATTTTAAATGAGAAGAAATTAAACATTTCCCGGAGAGCCTGTGACCTGGGATCCTACATGACCAAGGAGCCCCAGGATGTCTGGAATCATGTTGCAAATCTCCCACAGACCCAGGTCCGAATAAAACAAAGGCTAGGAGGCTGAGGCAGGAGGGCTGCAAGTTTGAGCCCAGCCTGGGCAACTTAGCAACTTAGTGAGACCCTGTCTCAAAATAAGAACTACAAACGGGCTAAGGATGTGGCCCAGTGCAAAGGCCCTGGGTTCAGTGCCCAGTACGTACACACACACACACACACACACACACACACACACACACACACACACACA